GAGATCTAAGGCTCCAACTTAACAGGGAGCACCTGCATCAGCAACACCTGATGGCTGGTTTGAAATATCCCACCACAGCTTCTAACAAGGTGTGAATAGCCACCATGTTGATTTTGGGATGAAGAGGATGGAACCATGGCTTCACCACCATCTTGACTAAGGGTAGTTATATGACTGGCAGCCAAACAGTAACTAAAAACAAGCAAAGATTGTCTATTTAGATCTATTTCCTATAGACGCAATCTCACTGCCATCTTAACTAAAGGGCTGAGGATGGTCCCTGAACCCCCACACAGGAGCTGGAAAAAATGATTCTTAAAGTCTTTAAAGCCCGAGAGGAGCCTCCCCAATGAGCTCAGCTAGAGCAAAGAACTGTGCTCCAGGCCCAGACCTTGGTTGCTGACCAGAAGGTAACTCATGACCGTCTATAAGGGGATCTGATGCCCTCTTGTGGCATGCAGGTGTACATGCAGATAGAGCACTCCTGCGTTTAAAAAACACAATTAACAAAAGAGTTGCTATGATCATGGTGTTTTAGCACAGCAATAGTAACCCTAAGACACACGGAAAACAAATGTAGCCGACTCTGAGGCTCCCGGGGACTGAGTTTGGATGGCAAATATAGGACAGGCACACAATTTCCCCTTGTTTGCTAATTTGTAGAATAATCCTATCCCCTGACAGCTTGCAAAATTGGCCAATGAGGTGGCTATTTCCCCGCCTTCTCAATCCCACCCCCTCTTCTTGTGAGGCGATTATGCATACTTGTTTTGTTTGGGGTTTTTGTTTGTTTGTTTGTTTGTTTTGGAGATAGTTTCTTTTTCTTTTCAGGTGCTATTTATTTCCTGTGACAGTCACAAAGCTGTTATGTCACAGGGGTGAGTATGGACGGTGCTCATCCCGGGTGCAGAGCTCGGGCCCGGCCGTAAGGGGGCGTCTCCGCCCCTATCCAGGTGAAGTCGGACTTGAGGGGCTCACTCGTCTCTGTCTCAGTAAGCTTGTTCACAGCGGGGACGCCAAGGGCCCAGCCAGCGGCAAAGACCGCATACTCAAGGGCTGAGGATCCTCCCAGAAGGTGTAATGGTGAATGATGGCCCCGCTGGGGCCTCCCTGCTGCTGGTGCTGCTGGGCTTCAAACTCACAGAGATCTGGTTTCTGCCTCCTGAGTGCTGGGATTAAAGGTGTGCCTACCATACTCAGACCCCAATGTCTTTCTGACATGATGTTAATGACCTTTTCCATTTGTTGAAAAGACTGGAGGTAACGTGGCTCAGTGGGTAAAGATGCTGATATCCAAGACTGAGAGCTGAGTTAGAGCGCCAAGCCTGCATGGTAGAACCTGGCTCCCATAACGTGTCCTCCTACCTCCACCTGCTGTGGTGTGAACATGCTTGCACACCTGCCCATACCCAAATAAATAGTGAAAAAAAAAAAAACTTTTTAAAATTTGTGCAACACTTTGTTTCCTGCCAGACATAATAGTGCACTGACAGAGCCAAGACAGAAGGATTAATCGTCCAATGCCAGCCCTATAACAAGGTGCAAAAAGTGAGACCCCCAAAAACTTACAAACATACAAAACCATAAATGAAAGAGAGAAGGAAAGGGCAAAGAATCTTTTTTTTTTTTTTTCTAATGTCAGTCTCTGAAATACACTTCCTTCTGTGGCTGGAGAGATGGCTCAGGGGTGAGGAGCACTGACTGCTCTTCCCGAGGACCAGGTTCAAGTCTCAGCACCCATGTGGCAGCTCACAACTGTCTGTAACTCCAGTTCCACAGGATCTGGACACAGACATGCATGCAGGCAAAACGCCAATGCACACAAAAAATAAATCTTGAGAGACAAAGCAAAAAGAAATGCACTTCCCCCTGTAATCTCCATATCCTTATCTTTGTCCCTCAGAATAGGACAAAGAAGGGTTATTCAAAGTGGCACAAGGGGCTGGAGAGATGGTTCAGTGGTTAGGGTCATTTGTGGCTCTTGCAGAGAACACAGTTTGATTCCCAGCACCCACAAGGCTGCTTACAACCCTGTGTAACTCCAGTTTCAGGGGGAGTCCCTGCCCTTGTCTGGAGTTTTTTGGGCACTACACACACATTATACATAGACACATTAGGCAAAACACTCTTACATATAAACATAGAGATAAATCCCAATTTAAAAAAAAATAAAGTGCTACAAAAGAATAGTAAAGAGGAATTTAAAAATGAAAAATTTCAAAATCACTTTATTAAATCTAAATGCTAAAAGGAAGTGTGGGCTGATTTATAACATAGATTGAAGTGAGTGATTTTTTTTTTTCGGTGCTGGAGATCAAACCCGGGGTCATAGCAAACTGTCTACCATGAGTTGCATCTCCAGCCCCGAAATTTAAGTGAATGATTGACAGGAGATTGTGGAAGGCTTGATTCCTTTGCACGTCTGGCCAAGTATGTTTCCATCGGTGACCTCTCACCCACATCCCTTCTCTTCCATCTGATGTAGCTCAATTCCTCTCATGATGGGAACTCCCTCTGGGTTAATGAGAGACTGCAGGCAGCAAAGAGACCCACATTCCAGGATGCTTTAGAAAAGGGGCGGGGTGAGCCCTCAGGGCCGGCATGTCATTTCCAATTCATTAACTGTGGTTTCCATTCCCGCTCTTCTTCCGTTTTAAACAGAGTGCACACTGCTCATCAACGTTTCTGGACTAAAAGTCTAGAACACATTCAATTAAAAAAAGAATTACCACATGCATGGTGGCACATGCTTTTAAATCTCCGTAGCCAGGCAGGTCTCTGAATTTAAGGCCAGCCTGGTCTACAGAGGGAGTTCTAGGATAGCCAGGGGTATGTACAGAAGCACTGTCATGTAGAGAGGCAGAGAGAGAGAGAATGTAAAGAATGATTACAGGTTTACAGACAGCCATGTCCTGCATGGCTCTTATGCCCAGTTCTCGAGACCTCTAAACACCACCAGGAATCGACTCCACTGCAAAACACATGCGGGTTTATTGAATACAAGCTTGAGCCTGGGTCACAAAACTTCCTGTGGAAGCAGGAGAGGAATATGGCAGGATGGTCTAGGGGAACAAGGTTTTTAAAGGGAAAAACCGCAAGCAGGGAGTTACATGCCTTGGTGTTACATGATCGGGTAAGGGAAATTGACTTTTGAAATGATTGGTTGACTTTAGGTGCCAAGACCATAATCGGTTCTGGCCAGGCCATCTGGGCCAGTTTCCTAGCAACTATATCTCTAATGGGCAGGAAAAGAATGCAGTAAGTCTAGTCCCTCTCCCCAGGTGGCTGGACATGTCTCCACCTGGCTGGCCTTTGGTCAGGCTTGTGCTTTAAACTTTAAACTAATACCCCCCAAAAAACCTAATTTTTAATTCTTTGGTCTCTCATGGCTCAGAGACCTGACTGGGACAACAAGAGAAGGAAGAAAGGACAGACACACTTTACAGGGAAACTGGGACCAGGTGAGTTGTACTCACTCTGATGGCATGCACCTACTACGCACAACCCAGAAATGTTTTATTACAGTGTAGCAGGAGGAGGTGACTAGTCTCCACAGTAGGAGGTCCCTGCAGGGAGCAGGAGGCTGCAGTGCTAGCTCTTACACATAAAATTGTTCACAAATGCTCAGTACTTACACACACTGCCAGCATTCGCATCTGACCCCAGGAAGGCTTTGTAATTCCTCTGACCCTCCCGTGGGGAAGCCTTTGTCCAGTGCCATGGGTTTGAGGCATTTGGCTCTTTAACATGGCTGTGCCCAAGTCAAACAACACACATTCACTCAGGACTTTATCCCTTCTTTACATATTCGCACAAGGATCTCTCAGCTCTCCTAAAGAAAGTGCCTGTCATGCAAGCATGAGGATCTGAGAGATCAACCTCAGGACCCATGTGAGAGCTGGGCGCTGTGGCATGCCACTGTGAACCTGGCACTAGTGGGATGGAGACAGACCAAGTCAGTGAGTTCCAGCTTCAGTGAGTAACCCATCTCAAACAAACAAATGAACAAATGAAAAAAGGAGAGCCAGGCATGAAGGTGCACGGCACTCAGGAGCAGAAGCCTGTGGACCTCTGTGAGTCTGAGGCCAGCCTGGTCTACATAGAAAATTCCAATCAAGATAGAGCTACACAGTGAGATCCGATCTCAAAAATAAATTAGTAAATAAATAAAATAAGATGAAGAGCAAGTAACCTAGTGTTGGCTTACACACACACACCATACACACACACACACACACATTTTAAAGAAAAGATTAGTTTTAAAAGATCAAACTTGGAAGTACCTTACAGAAACAGAGAATGCAGAGTGGCCAGACAGTTCCTCCCCATGTGTATATTTCGTGTGTGTGTGTGTGTGTGTGTGTGTGTGTGTGTGTGTGTGTGTTGCTGGGAAAACAAACCAGACCCTCGTACATATCCTAGCACCAAGTCACATCCCAATCCTGCGACCTGTGTGCTTTTCATTCCTTGGTTTCCCCTGTGTGATTTAGTCGATATGGTCAGTTGAAAATGGTCACATGGAAATGTCATTATCAGTTACTATTATCAACATGGATGAGATTCTGTAGAACTGTGCGATACTGTGGGTCATGCAACATGGCTGAGTTAGGCTGCTCGTGATTACACAGAAATCTGGGTCTCAAGGAAGAACAAAATGATATCTGTTCTCTGTACTTTTCTCACGACAGGGCACAATAATTGGACGTGAGGGAAGAGGCCCTCCTGATGTCCCTGGGAGGGGAGACAGTCACCCTGCACAGTGGGTGCAGAAGGAGGACCTCACGGACATGGAGGCCACTGATACCCGGGAGGGTCCTAGTGTGGTTGAGTACCTAGGACACATGTGCTCTTCTGAGGGTGAGGTGGAGAGTCTCCATGGAAAGAGCATTTGGATGTGGGATACAAACAGCAAATGATCTGTTGGTGTGTGCTGCAAGAATAGTTAAAAAAATAAAAATAGCAATTTTTAAAAGAACACTAAAAATTTTTATAAGGGAAAATCATGGCACGAAAAGATGGATCAGATCAGTGAATGAGTCTGAACACTCTTTGCTTAGCTTCTGTCTGAGTGAGCCCGTGACAGACGGCACTCTAGGCACAGGAACCTTCACACTCAGGGCTGTGAGTGTGGCATGGCAGGCATTGTCTGTACATCTGCTGTCACTTTCTGTCAAAACTATATTGGAAGACAGAACGACAAAATGAACCAGGAAGTAAAGGGGGGGTGAAAATGGGCCTGAATTTCTAGGTGGACGGGTAGAAGTGTGATTTGTAGAGTGGACCAGGAGTCCATTTGTCCTACAGAGAAGGGAGACACAGGCTCTTGGGAAATAATCTCCCTTGGGCTCAGCAAAGGTAACTCGAGCCTACACTCAGGAGAGTCTGTGGATTACCTGTCGCTTGGTTTCTCCCACCAAGTGTCAAGGTCAGGGAGACTACAAACCACGGTGTCTCCTCTGCTGCTCTCACTGGGGTGGGAGAAACGGATGTCCCCATCTTCCCCCACCCTGTCCATGTTGGCCTGGGTGAGTGTTCCTGCCTTGAGATGGCATTCCTTCCCTCACTATTGTGAGAAGAGACCAGGCAGAAGAGGGACGGTCACTGAGGTCCCAAACCCACACATAAGAAGTAAGAGTTGATGCCACTCACGTTCACCAGGTAAGCTTGGGAAATTGGCTTCCACCACTCTCTTGTTGAGGGGCTTGGTCTGGCGGTAACCATTTTGAAGGGTCTCGTTGTTGTGATTCATGACAGAATTCTCTATCTTCAGAGCCTGCAGATGGCAAAACGTGAATTATGCAGGGGGTGTGCCCTGGGAACGTAAACGCATTTAGCCAGTGACTGGAGAGAGGGCAGGAGCTGTGCAAGGCTGAGAGCACGTAAGAAAACCCCAATTCCAACAGTCTGAGTGGCCTGCCAGGTCTCACCCACCTGTCCTCCCATCCATCTTCCCATACATGCTGTCTGCTCTTCTTATATGAGTGTTAGGTTAATGGAACAAAAACAGTCAGTAACAGAAATACATTGTGGTAAGCTCAGTCTTTCTTTTTCTAAAAGCATATTCGGTCTACATCCTTGAGAAATGCTGCATGGATTCTGGATTCTCATTTATTTTTTTTCCCTCTAATATTCTGAGTCCCCACTGGGCAGTGGTAGTACATGCCTGTATTTCCAGCTCTTAAGAGGCAGAAACAGGCAGATCTCAATGGGTTCAAGGCCAGCCTGCTCTACAGAGCAAGTTCCAGGACAGACAGACAGACAGAGCTATACAGAGAAACTCTGCCCCCCCCCCCAAAAAAAAGATTCTGAATCCCCTGCTTGCTTGCTTTCTCTCTCTTTGTGGCTAACTCTGGATCTAATGATATTTATTTTGTTTTAATATTAGACAGCATCCTAACTCCTTTCCCTGGCTAGTCTGGAACTCGGTATATAGACTAGGCTGACCTCCACCAAGCTGCACCTGGCTCTGCCTCCAGGTGCGAGAACTAAAGCCATGCACCATGCACCGGCTCATCCCTCCTGGAACTTGAGACTTCTGCTAGATCTGTCTGTTCTACCCTTCTTCTCTTTGCTACCTTGCACATTTCCACCTGCATTCCGCTTTGTGCCATGGTTAGACTATTTTCCTACATCTGTCTCCAATTTACCGATTGTCTCTTGAATTCAGTCTAACATGCTGTTTTAAGCTCATTCATTCAATTGTTAACTGTGGTTAGTAACTCCCATCCCACCAAGCAGGTAGTGGTGGTGTACACCTTTAATCCCAGCACTTGGAAGGCAGAGGCAGGTGGATCTCTATGAGGTCAAGGCCAGCCTGGTCTACAAAGCAAGTCCAGGACAGCCAGGGATACACAGAGAAACCCTGACTTGAAAAACCAAAATAATAATAATAATGATTTAAAAATTAAATTAAATTTTAAAAGACTGAATATAAATCTGTGTTTTGACATGACAAAGGGCAGAAGCAGTCCTTGGCTTAAGATGCACAGGATGCTAGAATGTAAGCTGAGCAGGGACCTAGGACAGGGCTTGACCATGCCTGCTTGAGAACATCTGTCTTCACCACGCAGCCCCTCCTTCTTCCACATGGCTCCGACTGGAGACCTTTCATCGCAGCAAACCAAAGCTCCTTGCATCAGCTGGGGCCTCTCACACTCCATCCTGCCTCAGTGGCTGAAAGTCACCCACAGTTCCATTCCAGCTACATAGCATTTTCTTAACTAGTGGTTGATGTGGGAGGGCCCAGCCCACTGTGGGTGGCCCTGTGCCTGCGCTGGTGGTCCTGGGAGCTATAAGAAATGAGGCTGGAGAAGGTACAAGGATCAAGCCAGTGAGAAGCACCCCTCCATGGCCTCTGCATCAGCTCTTGCCTCCAGTCCCTGCCCTGTTTGAGGCCCTGTCCTGACTTCCTTCAATCATGAACTGCAATATGGAAGTGTAAGGGACATAAACCCTTTCCTCCCCAAGTTCCTTTGGTCGTGGTGTTCCATCACAGCAGAAACCTAACTGACGCAGTATCAGGCCTGCATGTGAGGGGCAGAAGTGAATCAGGTGGGCTCCTGGGAGTGTCCTTGTCTCCCAGGCATCCGGGAGGCTTTGATGAAGTGGTTACCTGAATGAGGGAGATCTTGCTGGACTCTCGAAACACAAACCACTTGACATTCTCTGTGCAGGGGGGAGTGGTGAGCGAGCCTTGGTAGGTGTAATAGTGCCGGGTGTCTCGAGGCAACATGTTCAGAATGTTAACGTTTCTCAGGGTTGTGGTTTGTCCTAAGAGAAAAGAGACAGGGAATGGAGAAGAAAGCTCTGCTGCCCCAGGAGGCACAGCTCAGGCTCTGCCTCAGGATACAGGATGTTCAGGTCCCCTGACCTAGGCTGCCCCCAGTTTACTGCCCTGTGGCTGGGTGAGGAGCAGAGAGCTGGGCCTGGTGGTGCACACGTGTAATCCCAGCACGTGGGAGAGGGAGGCCGGAAGCTGCCCATGACGTCAAAGCCAGCCGGGCTTTAAAGTACCTTCCAGAAGCCAGAGAGATGACTGGGTGGCTCAGAGCATGGACTGCTCTCCCAGAGCCCCTAGTGCCGCTCTCAGCACCCATGTCAGGTGACGTGTGACTGCCTGTGACTCCAGCTCCCAGGATCAGAGCTACCGCTACAGGCGTTTGTGGGACACGCAGCCTGTTAAATGGGAGCTGGGATCCAGACTCTGGTCATCTTCACCTGCCATACAGAATCTGTTTCAAATTTTACCTTTAATTGTTATGTTTCAAGTATTTTGTGTGTATGTATGTACACTGTACACACACCTGGTGCCCAAAGAGGTGAGAAAGGGGCTTCAGATCCCCTGAAACATGAGTTACAGGCAGCTGTGAGCCACTGTGTAGGTGCTGGGACTCAAACCTGGGTCTTCTACAAGAGCAGCAAATCTCTTAACAACTGAGCATGACAGCCATGACCTCTGTGTATACGTGAGCACACAAACACACACCCATACACACTAATAACATCAAAATCCACACTCAGGAGCTGGAGAGGACAATGGACAAGAGCTTATGCACAGGTTTCTCAGAAGTATGTCTGCCTGCTAAAGCTGCAAGGAGGAGGGTCCTCAGCCAGAGAGACCCAGCCTTCCTCAGAAGGGCTGTGCCCTCCCTACTCAGCCCACGCTCAGTCCTCTCCTGTGGGCATTCCTTACCTGGATACTGGACGCTGGCCAACTCAGAAATGAAGGGGTCGTAGTAAGTATTTGCACCATAATCCTGAATCTGCGGAGAAGCACAGAGCACTCAGGACAGGGGAGAACATGGCGCACCACCCCACATCAGCTGCTTGCTCACCCAACGGGGATGCTAAGCAGAAAGCAAGGAGGCAGTGTGGGCCAGGTGTGCTAAGGGACGAGCTGACTGTTCCTTGCTACCAACTGCCTGGGTCTGTCCTTAGGACCTCTGACAGACAAGATGTCCCAGGAAAAACAGCTCCTGTGGCCCCATTGCTGGAACACTCTTCTCCATGACTGATTTCATTGACTAATTTTAACTGTGTATCTATGTGTGTACCATCTGCATGCAGTGCCCATGGAGCCCAGAAGAGGGCACCAGACCACTGGACCTGGAGTCACAGTGGCTTGTGAGCTTTCATGTGGGTGCTTGGAACTGAACTCCGTTCCTCTGCAAGAGCAGCAAGGGATCTTAACCACTGAGCCATCTCTCCAGACCTGATTTTTTTCAGTTAGTATTTATTAGTATTAGTATTAGTAGGCTTATCCGATATTATATGCCTAATATCCACTTATAAGTGAGTATATACCATGTGTGTCTTTCTGCTTCTGGGTTACATCACTCAGGATGCTCTTTTCTAGATCCATCTAGATCCATGCATATTTCATGATTTTCTTGTTTTTAATAGCTAAGTAGTATACCATTGTGTAAATGTACCACAATTTTGGTATCCATTCCTCAGTTGAGGGCGATTTTTTTTATTATTAATTTAAAGAACAAAGTAAAAGTTGGTTTTAGCTTGGTTTGGTTTTAGTCTTTAGAGACAAAGTTTCTCTGTGTAGCCCTTGCTGTACTGGAACTCACTATGTAGCCCAGGCTGACCTCAAACTTAAAAGTGGTGCCTCCCTCTGCCTCCCAGTGCTGGGATTAAAGGTGTACACCTCCACCACCGGGCTTGACTTTGGTGTGTGTTTGTTTGATTTTTTTATTAATTACAATGTATTCATTTTTTTTAATCCCAGCTGTAGCCCCCTTCCTCGTACCCTAGACAAGGTCTCATTGTGTGGCTTGGGCTGCTCTAGAACTCCTGGCCTAGACCATGCTGGCCTCAGGCTTGAAACAATCTGCTTCTGCTTCCTGAGTGCGGGGTTAAAGTTTCGAACCTCCATGGCAGATTACTCAAGTCCATTCTGTTGATTTTTCTCCTTCATACAGATTATGGGCGGTAGTCATGTTATTCTCCTTATTTCTTCCATTATTACTGTGTGTTTGCACAATACAGAGGCACATGACTGTGGCATGCATGTATAGAAGTCAGAGGACATCTCTGAAGAATTGGTTCTCTCTTCACATCTTTATGTGGCTTCCAGGGATTGAATTAGGTTGCCAAATTTACACGGCAATCTGCTTTACCCACCAAGCTATCTCACACACACTTACTTCTGTCTTTTAACTGTGTGTGTGCGCGCGCGTGTGCGCACATATACATGTGCCAGCATGCCTGGCTTTTCACACGGTTGCTGGGGATCAAACTCGGATCCTCCCGTTTGCACAGAAAGCACTCTGCTGACTGAGCTCGCTCTCCATCCCTGCATCTCCCTATTTCTTTGCATGGGAAACTTTTGGTTGAAATATGGATATGCTAGATAATTTGTGGAAGCAAATCTGGATTCTGATCATTTCAAATCGTCCTGGGGTGTTTTCCTGTCTGTCTGTATGTCTGTACACTTGTTTAGATGCTTGCCTGTCTCCAATATGTAGAAAATGCCCCCAGCAGCACAAAGCAGTTAGTGTCTCTGCTAAGCTTGATATTCTTACATTTTAATTTTTTTTTTTGAGACAAGGTTTCTTGGTATAGCCTTGGCTGTCCTGGACTCGCTGTGTAGACTAGGATGGCCCCCAACTCAGAGATCCCTCTGCCTCTGCCTCCAGAGTGCGAGGATTAAAGATGTGAGCCATCACTGCTTGGCTCTTAAATGTCACTTCTCTTGTTTAGGCTGGATTCCTAGACACAGTTGTAGATATATGGTCCCAGGGAATTGGATGGAGGTTGTGTTCAAACCCCTTTCTAAGACACTGTACATCTGGGAAGCTCAGCACACACTCCTGTATCCCTGCCACTTCACCCGTCATTGTCACCAGGGTCTCCCAGTGAAGACCTGACTGGCCGCTGTCAGCATTGCTGGACTGTGACTGTGGATGGACTGTTCTGTCTGAGTTCTCTGACTTTTCTGACCACATGATCACATTTGTTTACTTCACTGAAAGGGGTCCTGGGCTTGGGGACTTGACTTCCACCCCACACCCAGTCCACTCTGCTGCCCAGGTGGAACAGCTCCTGGTTTTTCCTGACCAACCTGACCCTGAAGACACTTCCTGGCTGACCACAGTAGAGGCAGGAACCAGGACAGCTCTGGGGGAAGTCCTCTGGGACTCATGTGTACTGGAAATTCTACCTACTTTTGTGAATAAATATCTTAATTCATTGCTTGCCTCCAGCCCATGTTGAAATGATGAGAGGTGGTTGCCTGGTTTTGGTTGTTTTTTTATCTTGCTTTGCTGTGTTTTGTTTGTGACCAGATCTCACTGTCTAGCCCAGGCTGACTTAGAAGCTTTGCTCCTCTGCCTCAGCCTCCTCAGTGCTAGGTTTACAGATTTGCACCACCACAACCATCTTTGTGTTTTCTGTTTTGAGATACTTTGCAAACAACTGGGTATTTCATTTTGCTTGTAAATGTATCCGCTTTTATATTAAGTTAATGAGAATTAGATTCCAAACTACTTTGAATATATTTTTAAGATTTATTTATTTTTGTTTTATATGTATAGGAGTTTTGTCTGCATGTGTGTCTAACATGCAAACCTGATGCCCTCAGAGGCCAAAAGAAGACATTCCATCTCCTGGAGCTAATTGTAAACTGCCATGTGAGTGCCGATTCTGGAACCTCGGTCCTCAGGAAGAGCAGCCAGGACTCTTAATCACTGAGGCCACTCTCCACCAATTCTTTTCTGGTTTGGGTTGGGTTAATTTTTTTTTTTTTTTTTTTTGAGACACAGTTTCTCCATGTAGCCTTAGCTCTCCTGAGTTCACTTTTTAGACCAAGCTGGCTTCAACCTCGCAGCGATCTGCCTGCCTCTGCCTCCCTGAGTGCTGGGATCACAGGTCTGGGCCCCAGAGCCCAGCTTCCTATCTATTTCTGATCACCAATGCCTATGAGCATCGTGTGGACTTTCTGAGAGTGCAGCACTGTGGTCTTTGACCGGCTGCACTGGAGGCTTCACCTGGCCATTAGACCAGCTTGTAACCAGTCAACACCTCTGGGAATCCAGGTCTCTTAGTCATTACCCAGGGTCCCATGGTTCATAACACAGAAGGGCTTATGAAAAGGTCAACCCTGTCCTGAGGTAGCTTTCCCAGGAATTTGAGCTTAGGGAGGGATGGAGAGAGATAATGAAGACAGCATGTCATTTGTCATTCAGACTGCATACCTCATTTGGACATGAGGGCATGCAGATACACATGTGTGGTCCCAGCCTACCTCAACAGAGACCGCCAGTACAGCCAAACCGTCAGGTCGATCCTTGGCATTCTCAAAGCTGTTATAATTCTTATTGAAGTGAACAATGTGAATCTGTGAGTGAGAAAAAGCAGGTCAAATGGCAGCTCATCTGTGCTTCAGGCTTTTAAGGGAGAAGGAAAAGAATGTTCCCACTGACGTCTCAGCCTATCTCACACAGCGCCGCCCTCTCCCCTTCAGCCACAGGGTGGCTGAGCCATCACTACTGCGCGGAATCATCTTGGCTCTTCTAGTAGGAAAGGCAGAGCTGGAGAGGCGGCCCGGGTGGTAAAGCACTTGCTGTGAGAGCATGAGGACCTGAGTTCAGTCCCCAGCACCCCCAAAGGAAAACTGGGCAAGAAGTGCCTGCCCGTAATAGGATCCCTGGGGTTCCTTGGCCAGCCAGGCTAGCTGGTCAGTGAGATCCAGACTCAGACAACCTATCTCAAAAAATATAGAGATGCACATACACACACACACATATATATGTACGAATAATTGGAGTGTGATTGAGGAAGACAGTGTCAACCCCTGGTATCCACACATAGCACCCATACACGCATGCACACTCACATACATGTGCGCATACATGATACCTGTATAACACAAACACATCCTCATAAAAAGAGAAGTGACTATGGAGCTTGAAGGAAAGGGGACCCAGTTATGGTCATCACAAACCTCTATCGCACGTCTGATCCCGTCAAAGGTGTGTTCAGAGCCACTCATTCCTGAGGACCCTCCGCCCCAGTGAAAGTGCATCTGCTGAGCTATGTACGTCGTGCCGTCGGAGTCTGTCAGGTGCATGCTGTGGGGCAGGGAGATCTCCACTGCAGGAGAGAACATGGCACAGGGACTCAGATTTTCCTGTAGCAGCTCCCTGCTCATCTCCCACCCCCACCCAAGGCAACACAAGGTGCTATGATGGATCAGATGCTGTCCCCAGAGGCAAGGAGGAAGTGGTCCACAGGACAGAGAACAGGCCAAGATGGTTGGTTCTGGACACCTCTCTGTCCAGAACCAACAGGGCAGGAGCAGGACCCCAGCACAGAAGATCTGGCTTGTTGGTCCTATGAAATGGGAACGCTCAGAGAAAAAATATTGCCCAAAGTACATGTGTATACTACCAGTACTTGGAGGCTGAGGCAGAAGGATTGCTTCTTTGAGGCATGGCTTCCTGGCTTTCCCCATGCATCTCTTAGGTAGCCACAGAAATGCCAGCTCTGCCAGCCCATGCTGGGCTCCAGCACTCCTGTTTTGTGGACTGGGAAGCTGGCCCAGGGAAGGGGAAGACTCAGTGTGACAAAGGCCAGGGCAGCACTGGGCCGAGAACCCAGTACCTACATCCCCATCTGTAACCACACATCATGGTGTGGCTCAGCTTGTCCTCAGCAGACAAGAAACCAAGTTACACAGCAGCCGGGACTGTGCCAGCTCTTGCTTGGCTTAGGAGTTAATGTGACTGAGATTCTCACACTGAAATATGAGGCTTTTGTCAGAGGGAAAATGAATGATCCTCCTGCTACATGCCCTCCGGACTGCCTACAGTGAAGTTACTTGAGTCAAATGACCGCAGATAGTCATCTCACTGGCTCTGGCTCTTGGAATGAGCTAAGCAAGAATAAACCTGGTGAGCAACACCAAAGAGTGACGAGAAGAAGATGCTAAGGTGTGGTCGGCATGGTGGCACATGCTTGTAATCTCAGCACTTGGGAAGTAGAGATGGAATGATCAGAATTTCACTAGCTGCATCTGCAGTTGGTGGCTAGCCTGGGCTCCATGAGACCATGATTGAAAACAAACAAAAGATGTGATTTAAGAGCTGAGAATATAGTTCAGTTCCTGAGAGTCCAGTCACACAGGCACAAGGCCTAGGTCTCCAGCATAGGATGAAAGGAATGTTCTTGATGTGTGTCTACAACCCAGCACTAAGGACACTGAGGCAGGAGGATCATGAGTTGTGGGCTAGCCTTCGCTACAAAGTGAGACCCTGGTGTCAAAAACAAAATATCTGGGCCAGCCAGATGGCTCAGCAGATCAAGGAGCCTGACCTTTAAGCCTGGCAACTTGACTTCAGGCTCTGTGTCTGTGCAGACACACATGCCACACACCTGCTGTAACAGTGAAGAAAGAACTTTTCAAAGGCTCTGATTTGGGACTATGAAAGCAACACCTGCTCTCAGGGTCTTCTGAGTTAAAGTCACCCAAACGGCTACGGGGTCACTGAGATGACTCAGTGGCAGAGACGCTTGCTGGCAAGCCTGAAGACCTGAGTTTGCTTCCCAAATCCCACAGGGAGGCTGGAGGAGAGGCCCCGATCTCTACACCTGGGGAGTGTCACAAGTGCGATGCCTCTCTCCCCTCTCTTTCTTTCTCTGTTTCTCCAATTTGAAAGTTTTTAAAGGTGGCTGTGGATGCACATTGTTTTCTTAAAGTGCAAACTTTCACACCCGAGACATGACTCTTTTGTCTGAAGGACTTGTGGTAGATGAACATGACATGCTAACCCAGCCTTGAAGGCAAGGAGGCCCCTCTGTAGATCACACGCTTCGTATTGAGAGCCTCAAAATCTATGTTCTCCAGAAGAGAAAAGACTTTCAAGGAGGAAGTTGCTGAGTCAGCTCAGCTGGAGTGGGAAGAGCCAGGAACCTGGACCCCACAGAGCTTCTGAATGATCTTTGCCCTGCTCTTTGTCACACAGGAACAACAGGAGAGGTTCCAAGAATTACCTGCTCCCTGCAGGCAGCTTCTGGGACACAGGCTGTCTCTGTCCTGGCTTCCCACTGACAGGCCTACCTGCTCAGGCAGCTTGGAAAGGAACTGTCCTTTTGAGTTTGTGGCTGTGCTGCAGAAAAGCCCAGGAACAAATCTCTGTTCCCAAATCCACTTGCTAAAGTTTCCAGAATCTGGAAATGGATTCTCTTTCTGAGTGTTTCCTCCCTCTGTGAGGAGTGACACTTTAACCAGTGTCTCCATGGACAACAGGCATGTGAACATTTGCTGCGCTCAGATGACCATCACCAGGGCTGAGGTAGAGTGCTTTCCCAGCATGCACTGAGCCTGGGTTTGGTCCTCCACCCTATGTAAACTGTTCACAGCAGCACACTGCCATGAGCCCAGAACTCAGGAAGCATAAGTGGAAAGGTCAGGAGCTCAGGATCACACTCGGCTGAGGCCAGCTGGGGTTGTCTTCAAAAGAAGGAATGTTGACAAGTAGACACAGCCCTCCCTAGGATGGCCTAGCATGTACAGGGGCGTAGGTCTCTGTGCATGCTTCTCCTGGCACGCATGCGTACTACCTGCTTTCTGTGAAGACTGCCAGGCCCACCAGCACCCCTTACCTGTGTGTCCGTTGTTACTCATGGAGAACTCCAGCCCCTCCTCCCCGTAGTTGACCAGGTCCAGCGGCAGCAAGGACCGGTTGAAGTTTATATTCCTGCTGTTGAAGTCAACGGGCGACTGCCTCTGGCCCCCGCAGGTAGAGTACTTCTCAGGCCACTCATCTTCTGCTGGCCATTCCGCTGCAACAGGAGAAAGCTGAGCCCCGACCTGCCCAGCTGAGCCTCCTCTGAGGTTTCTTACCAGGCCGGGGTCAGGGTTTTCTGGGTAGGAAGACCTACAGGGCAGCCATCTGGAAACAGAAGCGGGGCTTCCAGAAGGCAGGCCCGGAGAGTTCTAAACTAAGCCCAGGACTCGGGGTGTGGCAGTGCTGCTCCTGTCTTCCTTTGTGGCTACCAGCACGAAGACCCCGAGCTTGTGATTCGTGTCCAGGGGTCTCCTGCAGGGGAGCTGGCCCTCTCCCATGCAGGAGTCACAGCACATGAATGTCCTGTTGGGAGCCTGGGTATAAAATAACCTCTGACCTCATTTTCAGAGAGTGTTGTTTCCCTTTCCAAACCCTGGGCTTGGGCCCTCAGCTGCCCCTGCTGCTGCTGGAACCTTCCCCAAACAGCAGCTTGCTTCTAGCTCCAGCCCCTTCTTTGGGTTCACAGGGAGTCAAAGGCCCCCTAGGTGACAACCCATGACTACAGGGCACCTGAAGAAGCACCATGTTAAAAGGGGGGTACAGACCTGTAGCCACAGCACTAGAGAGGTAGAGGCAGGAGGATCACAAGTACAAGGTCATCTGCAGCTACACAACAAGTTCAAGGCCAGCCTGGGCCACATTAGATCCTGTGTTTGAAAACAACACAAGAGCAGTAGAACAAAGTTGGACATATCTATAGTTCCAGCTTCTCAGGAGGGGGAGGTGACAGGACTTGTTGCTGTTGTTTTGCTTTTGTTCTTGTTTTTTGTTGTTGCTCTTAGAGGCAGGATAGTCTATTGAACCCAGGAGTGAACTTGTTTTGTTTTTGAGACAACTTAGTATGTAGTCTTAACTGGCCTTGAACTCACAGCAGTCCTCCTGTCTTAGTCGTTTGGGTGTTGGGATTACAGGTTTGTGGTACTAGCTATAACAGATAGCAGAGGTTCAAGGCCACCCTGGGCAATAGTGAGATTCTTTCTTTAAAAAAGAAAGAACAACCTGTCAGTGGTGGCAAAAGCCTTTGATCCTAGCACTTGGGAGGCAGAGGTAGGTGGATCTCTGAGTTCAAGGCCAGCCTGGTCTACAGGACAGCCAAAGCTACACAGAGAAAGCCTGTCTCAAAGACAGAAAAAGAAAGGAGAGAAAGAGGGCAGAGGGAGGGAGGGAGGGAGGGAGGAAAGGAAGGAAGGAAGGCTGGAAAGTTCATCTTTTAGTAGATGGTTAAACATCCTGGGGACAGTAATGCTGGTCAGTCACTGCAGACCACAGAGTCCCCACAGCGCTGAGGGGTTTTGTTAAGCCGTTTGTTTTAGTTTGGTTTTGGGTTTTGAGACAGGGTCTCTCTTCATAGTACTGGCTGTCCTTGAACCCACTAGGTAAATCAGGCTGGGCTTGAACTCACAGAGTTCCACCTGCCTCTGCCTCCTAAGTACTAGGATTTAGGGCATGTGTCACCATGCCCAGCTCTGTTCAGCCCTTTGCAATTGAGGAGCCTTCGTGGTCTTCATGGGTAGCTTTCCTTCATGGGAAGCTTTCAGGGAGCACATAGCTTGTTCTAGGAATGGTGCTCAGGCTGTTTGCAATCAACAGAAAAGTTGATTATTTTCTCATCCTAGTCAACAATTCAAACCAATTTTAAGACAATTCTTTCTTAGAGGCAAGAAGCCAAGATCAGGGGTGAGGCTTGTGGCACAGCTGTTTTTATGTCCAGATGCTTTGGGGCTGGGTCTTACAGGTATTGGGAAGGAGACAGGGGCAGAGGTCAACAGTGCAGCTTGGGTAGCATTCCCAAGGCTGGGCTGCAGTCCTAGATGAGAAAAGCATTTACAAAAGGCACCCTGTTCTCCAGGCCCTCGTGGGACAGCATGGGAGAGAGACCTTCCGTCTGGGAATCTCCGGTACCATAAGGAAGACAAGGATCTGCCATCCGAATCCTCCATCTTCCCTCACCTCTGATCCATGGCCAGTTAGGCTGCTGGATGTCACTGAGAAGCCCTGATCTTCCCAGGCTGTTGTGGGCACCTTCTCTGAATAGGATGATTGAGGGGCTGCCCTCTGAGCCTCCACAATGTCCCTGACTGTCATCTTGACTTAGGACTCACGGTCCACTCTGAATGTGGGTCCCTGGGGAGCAGGGAGGCCATGCAGAGCAAGCTTTCTCCTGTGTCACTCTGGCCTCCTGCACCACCCAGCAGCCTCCAGCCTCCCCCAGGCACAACCACCCCCAGCCTGGTCCTGTGAAGATACAAGTGGGAAGATTCCTAAGTTCCCCTTAAGAAGTCGCACTGGTCATAAGGACAGCGGGTTCTGATGGAGGCAAGGCATCCTGGGTGAACTGCAGTGGACACATTTCTGAGGAGGAAGCTGTCTGTGGTCCAGCAGTGTCTATGAGGCCACAGGTATCCCTTGTAGACAATTTGTCACATAGTCCCCTTAGCCCAGCTTCACAGTCAGAAGTAGGTTCACGAAGAAACCTACTGGGTAGAACAGCTTTTAAAGCTGCCAAGGGAAGCTGGGCTAAGGCAGGGGAATGTTGTCTCCTCTTCTCCATCAGGGTTTCAAGTCTACTTGTTCATTCAGAGATAGCAATACACATGAGAACCCACAAGGAGCAGGCAGACCCCAGCAGAGACCCATGCCAGTGCAGGTGGCTGCCTTGTCACTCCATCCTGATGTGGCGGCTTACCTGCGTAGCTCCACTCACTGTCGGCCTGGATGCCCAGGAAGAACAGGGTCGCCACAGTCGCTACGGTCGCCACAGCCCTCATGGCAGATGCAGTAGCCCTGAATGCAGGACAGACTCTGGGCTGCACTTCTTTTAAAAGCTGAGAAACTGTAAATAACAATTTGCCAGGTCCAGCTGGCTGATCCGCCCTTGCTGCACCCAAAAACAATCACACCCTCCCCACAATGGCCCTTCTGACTTGGTGCCATGTGCACAGGCCTTGCCTCCTCCCTGGGCATTACCATAGCCAATTAGCCCAGGTCTTGTTGTTCACCCTCTCTGGACACTCAGTCCAGAGGCCACACAGTGCAGCCATTGTGGACCTTGAGTGATGGGTGAGCTGTAGGGATGTGAAGAGCCTGAGGCACAGTGCACCTGGAAACAGGGGCTTCCTGATCTTGGCATTATTTCCTCTGCCCTTTCTCCTGGCAGCTGAGGTGAGTCACCAGGATCTTGCCAGATTCAAGTTGGTATTTCCTGCATGTCCTGGAGCAGACATATGAACATCCCCGATGGGGGCTGGAAAGATGGCTCAGCAGTTAAGAACACTGGCTGCTCTTCCAGAGAACCCAAATTCAATTCCCAGCACTGACATAGCAGATCACAGCTGTCTGTAACTCCAGTTCTAGGGTATCCTACACCCTCATACAGACATATATACATTCAGGCAAAACACCAATGCATGTGGTATAAAAATAAATACACTTAAAAAAGAATCCCTGTTGGGTCAGGGTTGACCCTCCATTCCACCCATACACACCCCACGGCCCAGACACACACAGCCCGTGCACTTGGTACCTGGGAACATAGTCTGGTACCCTAGTTTTAGGTAAGAAATGGAGAAGCCTCAGATGGAGGCAGAGATACTTTTCTCCAGCCCTTGACCTTGAAGCCTGGCTCTTGAACTACATCTGTGTGTACACATGCCTTGGGGCCACTGAGAAAGAGGAGGTGGAGGAGGAGATGCAGGAAGGGGAGAGGGTGGAAGAAGTGAGGGAGGGGAAAGATGGAGAAGGTGAAGAAGGGGGAGAAGGGGAGGAGGAGGAGGAAGGGGAAGAAAAGGGAGAGGAGGGGAAGGAGCCCTTATGGCTGCTGACAAGCCAGCTTTGTCCATGCCCTTGAGAGAGGCAAGGGTGTAGGGCAGGCAGGGATCCTGGAGGGCACCAGCCAGGCTGGTCAGATGCCAACACTTGATCTGCTCTGACAAATGGAGAATGCCCTCACCAGCTTCCTTTATCTCCCTGCTCACTTGTCCCCAGTCTGAGATGCTGGACTGGCAAAATGGAAGCTTGTAGTCAAATCAAGTGTACGAGAGGGGGTGGATTGTCATGCCTCAGAGGGCTCCCTGCTGCCGTCTGATCAGGGACCATCCATTGCTGTGAAGATCCCACTGAAATCCCAGACCCATAAAGCTCAAAGAGCCTCAGAGGACACAGTTACCCAACTTCTTTGTGCCTTCGTTTCCCCATCTTCAATAGGAGCTTGTGACGGTCTTGTCACACACACAGACACACACAGAGGAATTCAGCACTCTATATGTGCAGGCTCAGAGCTTGTCTTGATGCATGGTGACTGGCATTGTTTAATTCTCACTTCTGATGAGGAAGTCACTGACCTTTGTCACCCGGTTAGTGAGGGACCAGAGGATACAAAGCACTTTCTCTGCAGCTCATGGAGTTCCTCCAAACTCAGAGTCCACTGCTGTCACAGCTAAGGAGGGCTTGCCTGGTCTGCTGAGCCCCTGAACCTGCAGAAAGGTCCACCTTGAGCCCCATCTCTGCAGAAGAGTTCAATAGATATCATCACAGTTGGGAGATTGAGGCAGGAAAACTGAGGTGAGTTTAAGACGAGACGACTGCCAGGAGTTTGAAGCCAGCTTAGGCTACAGAATAAAGTCCTGTGGAGAGGGGAGAGGGTATGGGGAGCTAGAGAGATAGCCCAGGAGTCAAGATGGAATGCTGTTCTTGCAGAGGACAGGTCCCAGCTCCCACATCAGGAAGATCACAACCACCTAAAACTCCAGAACCAGGGGATCTGACACTCAGCTGCCCTGTGTACCAGTACTGGAACGCACACATGCTCACATGTGCCCAGGCACACATATAAACAATAAAAAGAAAAAGAAATAAAAGTGCTATTGATGATGATGTAGCTCAGTTGGTAGAGTGCTTGCCCAGCATGCACAGGTGCCTGGCTTCACCCCCACCGTCACACGAACTTGGTGTGGTAGCCTATGGCCATACTTCCAGCACTCAGAAGTTCAAAATCATCCTTGGCTTTATATTGAGTTTGAGGTCGGCCTGGACGACATGAGACACTGTCTGTATAACAAAGAAAAGCAACATCCCACCAACTCTAGATAAGACAGCACCTTGTTGCAAGCTGAGTGAAAGACATGAAACTGAGCCAGGGTCTTACTGCTCGGCCCAGGCTGGCCCTGAACTCAGAGATCTGCTGCCTCAGCCTGCAGAGCCCTGGGTCTAAGGCAGGCAGCTCTTCCTCGGGAAGCTGCACCGGGAAAGAGTGTGTAGCTGAGGGGCAGGAGGCAGCTGACCTAGGGAGGCTGCGAGGGTGATGTGAGAGGAGGTGGATCGCAGGGAATCAGGGCAACAGGGGCCTTGGAAGGGCAAGGTGCTGCCGGGAAGGAAGGCGCAGAGGAGAGGACAGTGTTCTGAGGCACGAGGGCTCCAGGAAGTGGCCAAGTGGATCCAGGTCACTCCCAGCAGCTCCCAGCCCCATCTCCCATGGGGCTCTGCAACCCTGAGGTTAGCACTTGGGATCCATGACAGACAGCCTGGTGCTTCTGTGACCCTTGAGACTCCTCGCACGCTGCACAAGGCAACAGTGATTGAGTGTGTAACTTCAAGGCCCACAGCCACCACCATCTACCAGCTCTGCTGGCCACCCCCACGTGTGCACAGACGTCATGCTGCACACCCCCACGTGGGCAGAGAGGCCATGCTGCCCACGCCCTCTGAGCACAGAGGCCATGCCGCCCACACTACGCACAGCTGGCAATGCTGACACCTGTGTTAAAGGAGCAATTAAATTAATAAAGGGAGGCGATCAGATCAGCTCCTGAACTCCAAGAGCCACCTGCTAACGAGGGCACGTGACTAGATGTGGGGGTCCCCTCCCTCTTCCAGATGGCACAGCCCCGATGACATACTCAGCACTGAATAAGGTAATGGCAATTTTGTTGCCCAATTCCTGACTCGTGTCTTCTTTGACCCTAAAATTTTCCATCCACCAACTCTGAAGAGGTGATATCTTGCTTCCTGTGTCTGTTGGTCACGCACTGCGCCTGTGCACGTGTGTGCGGGTGCCTGTGTCCAAGCCCATGTCCATATGTAGATTCCTTCTGCCCTCATCTGCCTGCCTCACCCCAGTTTATTGGAGCTTATTTTTGTTCTAACCTCCTGTTTCCCACTGCTCATGATTTGATTAACAGCTTGAGAGGAGCTGACTGTGTACCCTCTTCATCACAACAGGAAGTTAGGAGAAAGGAGCCTTTGTGCTTCTTGGGTTTCTGACTGACTGTTTCATGGAAAGGCCTGAATAGGTGAAGAAAAAGAAGAGAGGGAGGCATGCTCACCCCAGGGGAAGGGGAAGGAACACCAGCCCAAGTAAACAGGAGCCACCTCCTGACCCCCCGGGCGGAAGGGAGATGTGCTCAACCCCCATCCGCAGAAAAGAACCATCCATCTGCACAGGACACAAGTCAAGAAAGGTGAGCACAGGTGAGCTGGAAGACAGCCCAGGGAGCCGGAGCTTAAGGTTCAGGGCTGACATGGGCCTCTGCTTGCACAAGAATATGCTGTGCCCACCCAGACAGGCCGGTAGCCATTTCCCCAGGACTGGGCTCCAGGAATCCTGAAGGCTGAGCCGATCTGCACAAATGTTCTGCATCAAGGTGTTTGGTCTATCACAATCGAAGCCCTCTTGCTTGCTTGCTTTTTGCTGTGTTGTGTTTTGTTTGATGCTATCCTGGAACTTGCTATGGTAGACCAGGCTGGCCTCCAGCTAAGAGGTCTGCCTTCCTCTGGCTGAAGCCTGCTTCCCTAACCATATTGATAGGAATGTGTCTAAGCTTTTCCTGGACTGGAGGTGTAACACATTTGCAGTAAATTTTTCCTAGAGCACAAAGTTGGATACCTAGCTCCCAGGAGAAAAATTAACAGTTCTCTGTCTTCTTTTTTAAGATTGGGTCTCATGTACCCAAGGCCAGCCTCAAACTCAGTATGTAGCCAAGGATGACCTTGAACTTCTGATTTTCTTGTCTCTACTCAGAAGTGCTAATTTCTAAGCTTGTGTGTGCCTCCATGCTAATTTACATAAAGCTGGGGATAAGAGCACTTACTGAACAAACCTAGGAACGTAAGTTTGAATCCCCATCAGCCACAAAATAATAATAATAATAATAGTAATAATAAAGGCTGGGCAGGGCCGTATGCATGTCCAGAACAGGGGGCAGAGACAGAAGGAGGGGGTTGCTGGCTTTCAGCCCAGCTCTAAGTTCAGTGAAGGCCCCTGTTTTGAAGGAATAAGGCAGAGATGATGGGGCAGAACACAGGCCGTCGACCTCTGGCTTCCAAATGTGGCATGAGGATATGCCACAGGCAGACGTCCACGAGCACCACCCTCACATATCTGTGTGCGCATTAATCCACAGTTCTTCCTGGTGGGTATCAGTATCCCCCAGAAAACAGATCTCTCGTCCACTTTCTTCTCTACTGTTAATTTAGGTCCCAAACACCTAAAGTAGCTTTGCCAGACCCTCACCAGGCTCAGTACAAACCCAGCACAGTTCTAGTCACTGGGACTGGCTGTTCCCTGGCCCAGCTGCTTGTTGATGGAGCCTGGAGCCTGCTGTATCTGTTTAGTATGTCTCCAGCTCAGTTTACTTCCACATGATAAGTCTGTGTCTCCCTGCCCAACCCTTAGCTGATTAAACGGTCCATTTCAAACCTATGACGAGTGTTAACCTGCCAAGAAAGAAACTTCTGTTGGTCTATTAATGTCACTGAAACAGATGTCCACAAACTTGGTGCTTAAACAGAGGCACACTCTGAGGACCTGAGTTCAGGCTCCCGGAACCCATATATAGGTTGAGCTTGGTGATGGCGCTCAGTTCTGGCAACAGCGACATGGAACGCAGGGATGGGTGGATCCCTGGAAGCTTACTGGCCACGGTCAGGCTTGCTTGGTGATGTTCTAGACTAGTGACCCACTCTCAGATGAAAGGTGGAAGGCTCCTGGGGAACAATATGGGAGGTGGACCTCTGTCCTATACACGCACATGTGTGAGCACACACACACACTCACACACATGTGCAGCCAGACACACATGAGTACCTACACATGTGAGAAATAGGGAAACAGATTCATTCTCCAAAAGATCCGGAGGTCTGTCAGGTGTTAGCTGCACCAGTTCCTCAGAGGCGTCAAGTAGACAAAATGTTCTTTAGTGTCTGGTGGTCACTTGCATACCCAGGCCTGTGCCCTCACCCTCCAGTCACTCAGATCTCCAACCTCTGTCACCCCTACCCCTGCTCCTTCCTTGATCCTGTCTCTATTTGATAAAGGTTGCTAAGGTTACAATCCTGACCCTCCTGAGAACCCAGTAATCTCACCCCAGACCCCAACTCATTTGTAACTTCAAGTCTGTTGCCTTAATCGATGATGTACAGTGTTTTCCCATCTGGGCTTACCACAATGCCATCCTGAAGTAGAAAATGCTGTAGTTTAGTAGCCATGGCAACTAGAACAGAAAAACATCGTGATACCCAGGCTTATGGTAATGATGATGGAGTTACTGCACTAATTAATAGATGAAGGGAAGGTGGAAAGACCCTAAGGTGGGGTTTCAGCTATTGCTTCTACTCCCTTCCCCCTCCCTCACCGAAAGGGATCTTGGGAGAGTCTAGGCTATACAGAAAGTGGAAGGTTAGGTGAACAGATGATTGCATAATGTGGCTTCCATGGTGTGGGACTTTGCAACAATATAGCTGTTTGGGGGTTCGCCTTTACGCCTGTGAGTAAACACAATAAACTCATTGGTTTCACCAAGTTGAACTCAGGTGAAATTGTACTTTGGTCTGTCATGGATGTCCGTCTGGGTGAACAGGTGTTTGTTTAAAGTTTCGTGGGAAAGTTAACAGCAGAAAACAACCACAGATTCTAGGGGACTCAGATAAATATTTAACCTGCCGCGGTGAGGGGAGGAACCACCATTACATTAAATTATGGGGTCGAGGGAGGGGTGGCTCATTCGGTGAAGTACTTGCTGTGCAAGCCTAAAAGCCAGCGCCTGTGCAAAAGCATAGGGCAGAGGCGAACAGATCCTGACGCTCCCTGCTCAAGCAGCCGAACCTAACTGCAGAGCCTCAGATGCCTTTAGGGACCTTGCTTCAAGATACGATGGACAGCTCCTGAGAAAAGCCACCCAAGGTTGACCTCTGGCCGCTGCGTGTGTCTACACACACACACACATATGTGCAGCTACACACAAATAAAAGTTAAACTAAACCAGGGCTTCCTGGAAACTGGATTCAGACTTCAGAGGACAAAATGACAGCTCTTCCAGGTCTTGAGGCCCGCAGGCGTGGAAACGAACCACAGAACACACCGTTGCTGGGACCTTTCTTAGAACTATGCTATGGCAGTCAGCTGACCGGACTAGACCAACCTTGGGGACCTAAAAAATGGAGAGGCACCAAAAGGGGGCTCCAGGGTCCAACGGGTCAATATCCCAGGAGGTGGCTGTTCTAGTTGGCTTTTCTGTGGCTGTGACAAATGCCACGATCAAAAGAAAGTTGGAGAGAAAAGAGTTAATTTGGCTTAAAGAAATCCACCTCGAAGGAAAACCAGGGTGGGCGCTCAGGGCAGGAAGCTGGAGGCAAGAACTGAGCAGAGGAGCAAGGCTCACTGGTGCCTCCTCAGACAAGCTGGATCAGATCCAGGGTGGATCAGGACGCTCGTTCCGAGCTTAATCCCCTCCACGTGCCCTGTGACACATGCTCACCCACACCCACTCACATCACACACACTCACAGATAAGACCCAAACCATTTAATGTTAAAAATAAATAAATCACAAAAACCCATAGGCTAGACAGGGCAGGGTAAACCACAGCCGCGCGGCACACTTGGGCAGCCCGTTCTTTACGTACTGTCTGCGGCTGCGCGCCTTGGGGGCTGCGCTCGCTCTGCAGCGCTGAGAGCCAGCCTCGGAACCCACAAGTTTACCAACTTGGCCTCGTCTAGAGAGGCTCGCTCAGCTGTTTTACGACGCCAATGTATCTTTGATGTCCAAACCTAACAAAGGACAAAAAACAAAACCTGTAAGCTAATGCTGTTTTTATTTTTGTTTTTTTAATGTGCATTTAGGTGTTTGGCCTACACACATCTGTGTTGGGGTGTGGGGACCTCTGGAACTGATTACAGACCGTTGTGAGCTGCCATGTGGGTGCTGGGATTTGAACATGGGTCCTCTGGAAGAGCAGCCAGTGCTCTTAACGCCTGAGCCATCACTCCAGCCCTGTAAGTAGGCAAGTACTTACACTTTAAAGATTCAAAACAAGTCGAATGAATGAATGATGATCCTCCTAGCACTTTCCCAATTTTCAGCCTCTACTTGTTAGGAAGTTTTGGTCCTTTTATGTGAATGTAATGTCTTTATTACTCCGCTCAGGTGCTCAGGGGAGACAGAGCTGATCTGGCGGCCTGGTTCCCAGGCACCTCCCAGGGCCTCCTGGAGCTGAGCTTAGCCCCATAACTCATTTTCAGACAACCAGACCTGTGGAAAATCTGCTGGAGACTTCTGGGAGTTTTGTTTTCTTTTTTTCTTTTGTTATTTTCAGTCTATCACTTTTGCCTGCACATTTCTGTGCAGTACCCTCATAGGCCAGAAAGGGGCACTGACCTGGATCCTCTGGGACAGGAGTTACAAACAGCTGTGGGCGCCCCTGTGGGTGTTAGGAACCAAGCCCCAGTCCTCTGGAAGAGCAGCCAGAGCCCTTAACCACCAAGCCAACTCTCCAGCCCCCACGCAGCAACCCCTGCCACTGTTAACAAAACCCGGTTTCCCTGTAGTCCTAGATGGCCTGGAACTTGCTATATAGACCAAGCTGGCCTGGAACTCACAGAGGTCCTCCTGCCTCTACCTCTACACTAGTTTTGCATTCTTATAAAAACAGAGGAGGCTGGAAATGTAGTTCAGCTGGCAGAGTGAGCACCTAGCCTGTTTGGAGCCATGGGCTCAGTTTCCAACCAGTGCAGGCATGGTGGACCTGCCTGTAACCATAGCGTTTAGGTGCTGAAGGCAAGAGGTTCAGAAGCTCAAGGTCATCCTCTACTGCACAGTAAATTCAAGGCCAATGACAGCCTGAAGAATCATGAAACCATAGCTCAATAATAATATTAACAGTGAGGTGTGATTGCACCCATCTTTAATCTCCGAATTCAGGATGTAGAGGGCGGGAGTCCTCTGCTGTGAGTTCCAGGCCATCGGGGCTATATAATGACATCCTGTTTAAAAAATAAAAAGCCAGGTAGTGGTGCACACACGCCTTTAAGCTCAGCACTCAGAAGGCAGAGGCAGGTGGATCTCTGAGTTCGGGGCCAACTTGGTCAACAGAGCAAGTTCTAGGACAGCCAAGGTTACACAGAGAAACCCTGTCTCAACAAAACAAAACAAAAATTGAGAGCTGGCTTTGCTATGTAGCCTAAACTGGCTTTGAATTTGAGATCCTTCTGCCTCAGCTTCCCAAGTGCTAAGATTACAGGTCCATTCCACCAGACCTGAACTAAAAAAAAAAAAAAATTTTTAAGGCCTTAGGAGCCAGGTGTTGTTACTGTTATTTTTACAAAACTATTTCTCAGTTTCTCTCCTAACCCAGCTATCACACACATAATTGAGACTCTGCTACATTTGTTTAATAATAAGCTTCACAACACCATAACTGAGCAGTTAGTATTCTATTCTTAGCCCTCTAAACTAATCTGGCTTCTTCTGAGCCTACATCCCAGAGATACTTGTACGTTGTAGCTTGCATGATTCAGCTCCTTCTCCTGATGTCTCTCCTGGACTTCTGCCTGTGGCTGAATCCCCTACTTCCTCTTGTAACTCCTCTTCCCCAGGCTGGCAGGAAATCCAGCCTCATTCTCTCCCCTGTTCAGTGATTGGCTGTAAGCTGCTTTATTGGCATCTCAAAAGACAGTTGGGGAGCAGAATTGATATAACATTGAGACAGGAGAGTCTCAGAACAAGGATTGCAACCTGATATGGTGGGGTACAGAAATCAGCATTTGAACGCTTCACAGGTTTGTGTGTCATCTTTGCACAGGGGCCACGCTAATCTTCTCTGTATTGTTCCAATTTTAGTATATGTGCTGCCTAAGCAAGCACCAGAAATCAGAATTTGAATTGCACAATAACCTTATGCCTACAAAGTGTGTTGGCACATGACTTTACTCCCAGCACCTGGAAAGCAGAGGCAGGTAGATCTCTGTGAGTTCAAGGCTGGCCTGGTCTACACAGTAAGTTCCCGGGCTACAAAAAAAAAAAAAAAAAAAGGTCTTGGCCATGGAGCTAGACCTCAGCAGTTCAAGCACTTGCGCTCTTCCAAAGGACCTGAGTTTGGTTTCTAGCGACCACATGGTGGCTCACAGACATCTGCAACTCAGGTTCAAGGGGCTCCCACACCCTCGAGTGACCTCCGCACACTATATGCATGAGGTTCACATACCGGCGTGCAGACAACCACAAACACACAAATTCTTTTTAAAACTTGAAGTAAAACGTCTTATCCAAATGTGCGGGTATTCTTTTTCCAACCTCCTGACTCCCATCTCTCCATGCTCAGATTCCAGCCCTTCCACCTTCGTGAAGGCTTCGCCCCTAAGCCGAGAGCTGAAGGCGACGGTGGAGAGCTGGGAACGGGAGAGGTGGGCTCTCCGAGGGAAGAGCACACCAGCTGGTTCCATTTCCAAACAGTCATCCCTGAAAGCACACACACAAGTCACACTGTGTGGGCTGAGCGGGTTCTGTTCAGGAATGTGTGTGTGTACATACACGAACACGCAATAACAACCAGTGAGGGACGAGACCATGAAGTGGAGCGCAGAGGACGCCAGGGCGTTGTCGTTATTTCAACCTCAAAAATAAACAACAAAACAAAAACCAGTAGAGCCTGGCGTGGTGGCACGTCCAGATCCATCGCCACACCCACACACCCACCACACAGACAAACATACACATGAGATTTTTAAAAAGTTTTCTTTCCTTATGTGTCTGTGCGAATGTGTGCAGTCTGGGGGCCTGTGTGTCTGTGGAGCCCAGATCTGCTGAAGCTCCCGGTGGTTATGAGCTGCCTGCCATGGAGGGGCCAAGCTCAGGTCCTCGACAAGAGGCACAATCACTTTAAACACTAGGCCATCTCCCCAGCCCCAATCAAAGAAAATAAAAACGTTAAAAGAAGTTACCAAGGCTGTATGACTGTGTTGGTATGCAGGCCTGTCTTCTGAGCTACTAGACAGCTGAGCCAGAGGGACCGCTGGGGAGCAGGAGTTTGCTACCAGCAGAATAACGCGGTGAGACACCGTCTCAAAATAAAGTTAAAAAAAAAATACAATAATGGCTAATGACGACATTGTCTCACAAGCCCCAGCTTTCAGTCAGCCCTCCCTGAACTGTCCCTGGCAAGGATGGAGCCAGGAGCACTTTCATCCAGCAGAATCCAGCTGAGCCCTGTCATCACTGTCTCCTGTAAAGTGGGACAGGACCTTATTCAGGACGACATCAAGGACATGATCTCCTGCCCAATTAAGGACCAGATGGGAAATAAGACAATGATAATGAGTATTTAAAAGTGTTTTGAGAGACAAGTTTTTGTGTATCCCAGCCTGACCTTGAACTCCTGACTTTCAGGCTTCTAGTTCTAAGTACTGGGATTCCAGGAGTGTTCTCCATGCCTGAATTCTGTGATGCTGGCGTGAACTCCAGGCTTCCTTGATACTGGACGAGCACCTTACCGAGTGTCTGCTTTAATTCTCCAGGTGACTGAAGCTGTGAGCGGCCTCAGACCAAAGGGTCCTAGGCGTCTGTCTCCCTTTCTTGTCAGCTCCTTCACAAGGAGCTGACAAAAACTTTACTTGGATTTTTGTCTTCCCCGCATAGCTACCCTCTCCTGAACTATCCAGGAAAGTGTAAGGAGGGCTACTGCCTACCGGCATGCTTCCAGAAAGCTTCCAATGGGTCCATCGCCCCTCAGTGCCCTCTGCAAAGCCAAGGAGAGCCACCGCCAGATGGCGCAAAGCTGCTTCCCCTTGCGCAGTGGCTCTGTCCCAGGGACAGACTCTGCACTCCTGACACCCAGTGGTCAGAAGGCACATGTGCAGAAACGGTTTGTGGTTTCGTGCAAGACCCAGGGTGTGGCAGCGGATCTCTAGAGATCTAAAGGAAAGACGAATGGAGTGCCTCAGGAGAGAGGCCTGACCTTGGTAGCTCTTAGGAGCCCGAGGTGACCCGAGGCTGGCTGTCTGATGAGTGGGGAGATGTCTAGAAAGAGGTGCTTGGAAATGGAAGAAATTTGCATTGCAGGACAACTGGGTACGTGTTTATAGGGAAAGCAATTAGAAAATTGTTCGATGGGGGCTGGGGCTGGGGTTCAGCGGTAGATAGAGTGCTTAGCATGATGGAGGCCCTGGCTTCTGTTCCTCTAGCACATGCCTCAATTTGTTTAATTGAGGTGAAACTAGGATTGTGTAACATAACACTAACCTTTTGTATGCATGGTTTTATTTGTTTGTTTTGATGGTACAGAAGACAGATACGGGCGTGGGGATTCTGCCCCTACCTTGCACGTGTGTGAAGGTCAGAGGACAATTTTGTGGACTCTCCTTTCCCCTTTATGGGGCTAGAATTCAGGTTGCCATGCTTGTGTGACAAGGACCTTTACCTGGTGAGGCCTCCTGTTTGTTTGTGAGACAGGATCTTGCAGTATAACCCAAACTGGCTTTGAACTGACTGTGTATCACAGACTAGGCTCAGACCCATCATCCTCCTGCTGCAAGCTCCAGAGAGCAGAGATCAGGGCTTGCGCCTCCACACTAGGCTGGCATCACCTTCTCGGCACGCAGCTCAGAGGCTGAGGCTGTACCTCAGCTGGTAGAGTTCTTGCCTGGCATGAAAGAACCCTGGGTCATATCCGTGACACTTCGTAAACTGTGCGTGCCGGTGAATATCCCAGCATGAAGAGAGGGACAAGGGGATCAGAAGTTCAAAGTCATCCTCAGAAGCATGGCACGTTTGGGGCCAGCCTGGGATATAAGTGATCTGGTCTCAAACCGAGAGTCGAGTTCAGAGGGGATTGTAGGTGGCATGGGACACTCCCATCTCTGCTGAAGACAGAGAAGACAGCTTCCCTTCCTCTCTGACTTATCCTCCACCTGACACTTGACTTAGGAATCACTAACAACTTGGCACCTGCCCCACTTTGAGGAACGCACATTAAGAAAATGACATCGGGTGTTTCGATGGTTTAGATGTTAAGAGAACTCTGAACTTTTGCAGAGGGCCCAGGTTTGGTTCCCAGCACCCACATGATGGCTTACAACTCTCTCTAACTCCAGTTCCAGGGGATCTAATGCCTCTTCTGACCTCTGTGGGCACTGAATACATACAGTGCCCATACATTCATGTAGGTAGTCACACATATACATAAAATAAAAAATGGATATTTCTTTTTAAAACATAATCATTGGTTGGGCATGGTGGTGCACACTTTTAATCCCGGCCCTCAGCAAAGACAGGTGGACCTCTGTGAGCTCCAGGCCAGCCCAGGCTACGTAAGAGACCTTATTTTGTACAAGGAGGAAAAGAGTAAGAGCTGGTGTTTATGCAGCAGGGTAATCTGGAACAGGGCCCAGCTTACTCACTCCGTGAGTTTTGCATGCATGGAATCACACACCGACAGCCTCCCACCTGGCTTCTTTTGCTCAGTGTGTCTTTGAGGCCCAGCTGCACTCTATCATGTGTCCATACTTCATTGTTTTGTGACAGGGTAATGTAGTGTGGTTTTCGTCAAAAGATCTTAATTGGCTTTCATGTCTAGAATTAGGGGAAACTTCATTCCATACTATAGAATTAAGTGTTCTGATGAGCTGAGCAGAGAGGGCTGTCTTCATAGACTGACCAGGGCTAAAGAAAGAAGCAGCAGGGGCCAGTGAGATAGATAGCTCAGTGGGTAAAAGCTCCTGCTGGCAAGGCTAAGGATTTTAGTTCAATCCCCAGGACCCATGTGGTGGCAGGAAAGACACAACTCTCTAAACGTGTCCTCTGACCCCAGCTTGAGCCCCACATGGAAACCACACGGGTGCACAAAGTAAATGAAATAACAAAGAGTAGCTCTGTGAGTTCAAGGCCAGCCTGGTCTACAGAGAGAGAGTTCCAGGACAGCCAGGGCTATACAGAGAAACCTGTCTCAAGAGGAGAAAGGAAAAGGGGGGGTGCAGGAAGTGGGCTGGTGACTCCAAAATGCTTCCCTTGTCAGGCAGGGCCAGGGAGCGACATGGGAGATGAGGGGATGGAATAACAGCCATTGTTTCAGGTCATTTCTGTGGAAGGACTGAGGCATTGTCATGCCCAACTGAAGCTGTCCTGTTTGGGAAATTGTAATCTCTCTTTAATCTTGATTTATTTGCGGAAACAAAGTTTCTTCTGTCTAGTACTATAGTGTGACTCCCTTTTTATGATTTCTTTAAGATTTAAAAAAACAATTTTATGTCCTTGGTGTTTCGCCTGCATGTGTGCCTATGTGAGGGTGTCAGAAGTTCTGGAACTGGAGCTACAGACAGGTGTGAGGGGCCCTGTGGCTGCTGGGGATTGAACCTGGGATCTCTGGGAGAGCAGTCAATGCTCTTAACTGCTGAGCCATCTCTCCAGCAACCCATGTTAATTTTTCAGCCTGGTTTGTGGGAACCTAGTGCAAGAGTTTAGTCAAAAACAGTGTCATCTTACAATTTTAGTTAACAGTGTAAAGTAACTCTGGTTCCAAGGGAGGCGAGGCAGGAGAACCACCTGAAGCCAAAAGCTAGAGCCAACCCGAGCAACAGCAAGACTCCATCTGCCCGGTGGGGGGAGGGGCAGTACAGAGCGTATTTGCCTGGCCTCACTCGTCTGCTGTTGAGGAGTCTACCTCTTCTGTGGTTTTGTTTTTTTTTTAGATTTATTTATTTATCATTTATACAGTGTTCTGCCTGCATGTGGGCCTGCAGGGCAGAAGAGGGCGCCAGATCTCACTATAGATGGTTGTGAGCCACCATGTGGTTGCTGGGAATTGAACTCAGGGCCTTTGGTAGAACAGCCAGTGCTCTTAACCTCTGAGTCATCTCTCCAGCCCCTCTTCT